GGGGAGTGGGAGAGGGAGAAGCAGGCTTCCCCGCGGAGCAGGGAGCCCGATGCGGGGCTCGATCCCAGGACCCTGGGACCACGACCTGAGCCAAAGGCAGGCGCTTAAAAACTGAGCCACCCAGGCGCCCCTGGTGGTTTTTTTTTTTTTTTTAAGATTTTATTTATTTGACAGATAGAGACCATGAGTAGGATGGAGGGGCAGAAGAAGAGGGAGAAGCAGACTCCCTGCTCAGCAGGGAGCCCGACAAAGCAGGCCTCGATCCCAGGACCCGGGAGCATGACCTGAGCTGAAGGCAGACGCTTAACTGACTGAGCCACCCAGGTGCCCTAGTTTGGCAGTTTCTTAAAAAGTTAAACATACACCTACATATGATGCAGCCATTCCACTACTAAGTATTTTACCCAAGAGGAAAGGAAACTATGTCCATACAAACATGTGTACAAGAATGTTCATAACAGATTTATTGGTAATAGCTAAGAATTATAAACAACCCATTCAGGTGAATGGATAAACAAAATTTTCTATATCTACAGAATGGAATACTACTCAGCAATAAAAAGGAATGAACTAACTACTGATACATCCAACAATAGAGATGAACCATAAAAACTCTATGCGAAGTGAAAGAAGCCAAACAAAAAAAGACTACGTATTTTATGATTCTGTTTATATGAAATTTCTAGAAAAGGCGAGACTATAGAGACAGCACATCAGTGGTTACCCGAGGTTGAGGGTAGGATAGGGACTGACTGACATGAGGCAACTTTTTAAGCTGAGGCAAGTGTTCTAAAATTGAATTGTGGGAGTGCTGCACAACTATTAAAATTTACTAAAGCTCACTGAAAAACACCCTTACAGTGGGTGAATTTAGGATATGTAAATTGTATCTCAGTCAAACTGTACTATGACAACAGTGTGTCTCAAGCAAATAATTGGGAACTTCAGTCTGATGACTTGGTGTTCCTATAGAATGATTATCTGTAATAGTGTATCTACTAATTTCTTTATTTCACTGAACCTGAAGTTAACCTCATATAGTACTTTCACTACTGACAAGCAATTCTGTTTGATTAGTACAGTTGACCCTCGAACAACATGGGCCAACCCCTTGCACAGCCAAGAATTTGTATATAACTTTTGACTCCCCAAAACTTAAATACTCATAGCCTATTGTTGACTAGAAGCCATACCAATCACATAAAAATGTGTTGATTAACACATTTTGTATGTTATATGTTTATATACTGTAATCTTACAATAAAGTAAGCTAGATAAAAGAAAATGTTATTAAGAAAATCGTAAGAACACATTTACAATACTCATTGAAAAAAAACCTGCATACAAGTGGACCTACACAGTTTAAACCCATATTGTTCAAGGATCAACTGTATACAATTCACTTAAATGAGTATCTAATAAATTAGCAAAAGAAAAAAACTTAAGTGAGTACCTGCCAGCAAGGGTGTGGCTCAAGGCTATATCCCACCTGTGACATCCCCATTTTTCTCCTTGTATTATGTGGGAATCCTGTCAGTCTGGTGCCATCTGCATAAAATAATGATATGTTCTATTTTTGTCTCAGTCACCAACTAGCCCACTGTACAGAATGAAGTCTGGGAACCGAGTGGCAACATTTATGATCTATGTGAGTCTTGCTTTGGATGGACCAGGGCTTCTTATTTAATGACTGCTTCTCTTTTATGGTTTTCAAAGCAGTATCAGATACTGATTTTATCTGATACAGCACAAAAATCTCTGAGACTTTTGTGACTTTCAGACAGCATTTTTAATAGGCACTATCGGAGATAAAGAAACAGAAGTCAGAGTTCCTGCCCTCAAAGAGCTTACAGTGCATAGACTTAAATATGACCTTGTCATAGGCAGTGATTAGGATGGGAAGTAGGGTTACACTGAAGGTTACATTGAAGGCCAGGAGATCCTAGGACCTAACCAACACAGGAAGGGGATGTGACAGTCTCTCTCTGAGGTCACACAGACTAGTTGGTGTTGGAAAGCATGGATCCACAGATGAGGTTGTGGAGCCATGAGGGGAAAGAGGGAAGAGGAAGGAGACAGCTAAGATTACAGGAGGGAAGAACAGAGATGTCTACTAAGAAATTCAGTAAGTGTTGCTGTCTTACATGTAGTGAAAATTCTCTTTCCAATGTCCCCATAAAATCTGCGGGATACCCCCTTAACAAATAAACTGGCCTCCTCTCCTAATTTCTGACCTGATCCTAGGAATTGAACCTAGTCGCTATTATCTCACCTACCCCCTTCCCTGCAGATCATGTAGGTTTACTTCATTCTCTGTGGACCAGTCATAATTTCAATCATCTGTCACTTAAATTATAAGAGGTGTATGACTGCTAACTGAAGGGATAAACATGTTAATAGAAGGGTTCTACGTAACACCCAAAGATGAAGTCCTGGTTTCAGGCTTATTAGAATGGCACACCCCCACCCTAGCATTCCCTCTTTTCTCAGTGCTGTGTCGTCTCCACAGTGCAGCCAAAAAAGGACAACCAGAGGCCACACTTTATGGTCTGTAGTGCTGGTGATTCCATTGTAGTTCTTCCTGTGACTGGGTTTTATACTTGCCGCAGAACCAGAAGGCTGCCACTTGCAGTGGTGTCTGGCCTCTAGTGGTCATTCTGAGTGTTCTGATCAGGCATTGGAGGGACGTCAGCTCTCCAGGCAGAGGGCATGTCTTATATCAGCAGCTGGTTGTATCTCCGGCTGATGACTCCAGATGGCATGGGAAGTCACAGGTAGTGAGGAATATTGGTATCAAGCGAAGAATAGGACATCTAGGGGCCAGTATCTCTCTGTTCTTTACCTCCCTAGTAGCTCCTACCGCTTTGTTCCCTGGTTCCTGAGGCCCAGTTCCTATGGTAAGGGTAGCATGGTTGCAAGAGCCCTGCACTTGTAAATGGCAAAATGCAAGTGTGTGTATGTGGAGGGGGGGGTGAGTATACACATGTGTGCGTGCACATTTGAGTATAAGCATTTGTGACAGTGGAATGGAATGCACTTAGAGTTAGTTGGCCTAGTTCCAGTTCTGCCACTTAATATGTGGCCTCAGCACAAATCACATCAATTCTCTGAGCTTGCTTTCTTGTCCTGCACCTCCTCATAGGGTTGTCATGAGGATCTGATGAGATAATGTAAGGGGACGTCACTCTGTAAAGTTTTATCCAATAGGTTTCTATCATTGCATCCCACAAGGAGGTATATGACCCCTTAAAGGGGCATTGGCATCGTGGGACCTAGGACATGCTAGGTTATCCCAATTCTTTCATCTTCAGATTGAGGTAGGTAAAGACCATTACAAGCATTTCTAATGACAGACATTAAGGTTTGTGGAGAATCTAAGCGTAATATTGTAGGGAGAAAATAACCTATAAGATGTGCAGAGGACTGAGCTGAAATCAAGTTACTAATTTTTTGTTCAAACTGGAGATAAGATCAGTCCCAGTACAAAACAGTGGAAGGTTTACTTCTACTCCACTGATCTCACAATCCTGCTCAGAAGCTTCACAGAACACAGGTCAGATTCTCTTTTCAATTTGATGTCATTCCTTCCCGCCATACTGCAAAACCGTAGGTAAAGGAATGCAGGAAAGTGCAGGCTCCCCCTGAGTATCTTGCTTACACCCATAGTTGCTGACAACAGGGGTTAGAATGGAATCATCCCATTAGTTACTTGAACACAAGGAGCAAATTGTTGCTCTCATCGACCTTCCCAAGGGGCTACACGGGGAGCCATGAAATGCTAAAAGTCACCACTGTCACTACCATGTTCTGAATCCCCATGTTAGTTCAGTTTCCTCTAACAAGTGCCAACGTCCTAACTGCTAACAGGTGAATGTGGTGGGATCCACAAACGTTCTGCGAGACAGGGTGAGGTCAGACTGGCTCTGTCATGTTGCGCTGCTGGTGAGAAAATAACTTAGCAGTACATACCAAAAGTACTCAATGTATGCATACACTCTTGACTCAGTAATACTAATGGCCCAGACTCTTTCTTATGAGAACAGTGTAAAATGAAAAAAAAAAAAAAAAGATTTTACTCACTAAGAGTTGCTTAGAATAGCAAACATTTGGAAATAACCTGGATGTTCAAGGGTATAGCATAAAAATTGTGAGCAGGGACTTGGTAGTTAGCAGTGGCTCAGTTCAAATTGGGCTCAGTCACCGAAGAGTGATGTGACCTTTTGTTAAGTACTTAATCTCTCTGAGACTCAGTTTCCTCATCTGTAAAATGTGAATTATAACAATATCAATTCTAACTTACAGGACTGTTGTGAGGAATAAGTGAGATAATATATCTGTAAGGACTTGTATAACGTCTAGCATGTAGTCAGTGCTGAATAAATGCCTGTTATTAGTATGTAAATTACAATTGTGCTTTTTTTCCTCGATGATATGATGAGTAATATAAGTATTTTCCTGTATTTTTAAATTTTTTATATATTTCTTTGACAATCAGAAAAAGATCTCCATATTAAGAGAAGACCTCTACAATTCTAGAATATACCAGTGGTGAAACTCCTTAGCTGAGGTTACTTAGCGTGGGATGAGTGGTCTGGGAAACATGCCAAAGCTGCAATCAGTGGTTCCTACAATGCCCAACTTGGAAAACTAATTGTAATATAAAAGTGCTCTGTAAGCCACAGTCATGATCCATTAGTGGGCTGTGAAATTAATTTAGTGGATGTGGTCAACATTTCAGAAATCTGAACTAGAATAGAACAAAATAAAATGGAAAATAACAAAGGGTATCTCATGTAGTAAGAATGTTTTGTGAAACATTCTTGTGTCTTGGGTTGTGATTTAAACTAGATTTCTTCCTGACGGTCTCAAACTTCAAATCGACTTACTGTAGCCCTCAATAAGGATGTTAGCTGGAAGGATGAAGAAAGCGGGGGAGTTCCTAAAGGCTGTCCTCTTATGGCCCTGCAGGCAAACACTGATGCCAGGGAGTAGGCTCCCTTAATTCCTAAATTGGGTGATAATCTTTCAATAAGTATTTCTCTCAGAGCTGAAATTGGGGAACCTGGGAAGGATTCTCTGCACAAATGACATCAGATGTCAAGTAGGACAGAGTTGGACAGTCAGGGGCTATTTCACTGCTGACTCTTTGGCATTGTAGCTGAGCTCCGTGGAAGCTGGAGGAGCCACTGCCTTCATCTATGCCAACTTTAGCGTGCCTGTGGTCAAGGTGAGTGGGGGTCTGGTCCCAGCACATGGTGGTAATAAGAGTGCAGAACTAACACCTGAGCTTCCGTGCTGTCTGTGCTTGCAAGCTTATTCCTGGGAGGAGGGATAAAAAGATATTTTCCCCTGATTCTCAAAATCAAAGATAATTCCTCAATTTAGATGACCACATGTTACTTGTGCATCTATTTTCAAATTTAATGACTATTTATATTACAAGTAGATGATTACCTGTCTGCCTTCTCTATTATGATAGAACTCCTCAAAGGTAAGAACTCTCTTTTAGTGACCCTTGGGTCCTCTAGAGCAACTGGTCCCCTCAGGCATTCATTCAGTAAACACCGAGGGCTGAAAGCACTGAGGTACCGAGGAAAACTCATAGTCCTTGTCCTCCAGGAGCTCGCAGAGAAGTTAACAAGCAGTAACAACTATTGCAATAAGAGCTATGAGATCACGTGAGGCAAGGGGAGGGCCGTGTGATAGAGGTTTCATTTCCCCCCAGTTTCAGACCCATCAAGCTCCCTCAAAGCCCTTACCTAACTCAGGAATGAAATGAAGATATAGAAATGATATCGTGCCTATAAAACACTTAGCACAGTGCCAAGCACATCGTAAGCACGGCCTAAGTAAAGGTCGGGATCTAGGAGTCCTCAGGGGATTGGTGTCTCTTCTAGACTTGGGAATGCAGACGCTGTCAATGCCTCCTGGAAAGCTCTTCATTACCTAGGGCTTTGACAGCTTCTAATGGCCAAGGTTAAACTAAGTCTATAGGAATTGTATAGGGGAAAAAAGCTGTCCACAGGGAAAAAAGGACATACAGGATTTGTCAAAACACCTGCGTTTGAGTCTTGACTTTGCTCCTTCTTAGTTGCATTACTTAAAGCCCCAAAGCCTCAACTTCATTGCTGGTAAAGTGGGGAGTATGATAAAGCCTGCTTCCTGGGGTATTATTAGTAAGTGCCTGAGGAAGGGTAAGCATCTGAATTAAGTTCTTAATTGTATAAGGAATATTTTGTTCCACTTTGTGGTTTTTGCTGAGGGCCTCTCCTCTGGGATCCAGTGACATCATGTGTTCACCTTTCTCCTAGCACTTGCCACACTGTCCTGTTCTGTTTTTATGTCTGTCTCTCCTATAAGACTGGGGGCTCCTGAGAGCAGAACTGGGTATGACTTGTCTCTGCATCCTTAGGGCCTGGAGCGGAGCAGGCCCTCAATAAATGATGCATTCGTGAATGAATGAATGGGTGAATGGCAACTTATGCCATCTTGTGCCATGTTATGCATGCCTTGCCCCCAATCTGCATGGACAGTTTTCTCGTTTAATGATATGCATGCATTTGTCCTTAGTCATAGTCTTGTCCTTCCATAGGACTGAAATTCTGGGCTGGCCCTCTCTGGGGTGGGCCCTTTTGTTTTCAGAATGCAGCACTGTTTTGGTGGAATCTGCGTAGGAGTGGTGACGGGGATGGTGACACACTTCATGCGGGCTGTCCTGTCCTGGTGGGAGATAAGTGGGGTAAGGCCTGCCTTTCTAGGCATGAGAATGGGGTGAGGGATTCAGAGTAAAGTCAAATAGGGAGTGGCTGGAAAATAGCATAGCCCTGTCATTCCAAAAGCTTCATTACAGTGCCACTTAATATTGAGATGATCAGATTGTGGGTTAGTTGCCCCCAAAGATTGGGAAGCCTTAAAGGGCAAAGATTCTCTCACAGAGCAGGTGTCAGTGAAAGTTTATTTTTATTTTT